ACGAAGTGACGCGTGTGCCGTGCTCGTGTGTGCAGGTGTGCGCGTGGTGCAGGCTGCCGGTGCAAAAAGTGCAGTGCCCAGTGGACTTCTCCATCCCGTGCGTGCGCTGCCTCTGCGAGTAGGCACGTAGACACCGGTGTTCCGGTGTGGACTGATCGGAGAACAGACCATCGCGACAGTTTCGTAACTCGACTTTTCTACGAATTGTTCCAAGAAAGAATTTCACTTCTCGGCACGCGATGTCCGAGAGTACGAATCTCTAAGTCAACGAGAATCGAACGAATTTCGAGCGACAACTCGAAATCGAAAGAACGCTGTCGGCGATAGAACCGAACGCCAAGGAGAAAAGGATGCACGTAGCACGGCGACAAAAGGAACAACGGAGGTAATAAGATTCGCGCGGACTACTTTACCGACGGAACCGGCTGATTCGCCGCTGGTAAAGTGGCTCCATACAGTGATCCATCGAGGAAGGAGAACTGAAAGAGAAGCAGACCGAAGAGACGCACCAGTCGCGGATTTCTGGTGGTCGCGATAAGGACAAACGCGAACGTGTTCAGTTTCATGTGCACGGATTAACCGGTGGATACATTACGAAGACGAAGGACAACGAAATTCCCGATTGTTTTTTATATATTGTGCGACCGATCGGTTTTATATACCGTGATCATTTTTAATCGACCCAGTAGCAGTAACGGGGTGAACTCGCGTGATCGGACGAGCACGTTTTTACCGCGAACCACCGTTCCACTCGCACGTTTGCCGCAACACGAGAACCATTTTGTAACTATATCTAATTCATACGGAATTAATACGTTGAAGACGGGAGACAAGAAGCCGGTTTTACCGCAATTAGCTACGGCGAAGGTTACGAACGTACACGTAACTCTATCGAAGATTCGAACGTTTAGCGGAAGGAAGGAAACGCATAGGGTAGAAACAGCACAGCGATAATAGGCGAAGAAATCGGAGATCGAAGCATGCGCGTGTCGCTCGATCCAACCAGTTACTCGATTCGGGACGAAGTTCGTAGGAAAGCTCGTTGAACATTGGTAAAATAAATTCGACCTAATCGACGAAGGGAACCGCTTTTAAGGTCACCTGGAATTACGCTCGATAACCCACGAGGATCTCTCCGTCGGCCACGCACGGCTCACGGGGACTACGTTGAAAAACGTTCGGTGTCGTTGGTTGACGAAACCGGTTTCGCGAATCTCGGCGTTTATACAAAGGTCGTGTGTGCGCGCACGAGAAACACAGGGGGAGAGAGAGAGAGCCACAGAGAGAGAGGGAGAGAGAGTGGTAGGAGTGAGATTTATGGAAAACGAATTTACACGAGGTCACACCCACGGGAGCGACTTTTTCCTCTCCGTCTTGTTCTCTCTTGTTCTCCTCGCTTTTTTCTCGACTCTGTCCGTCTCCTGCGTTCCGCGTCTCCGTTTCGATCCGTTTCCATCTCGATCGTATTAATAATAAGGACGAAATCGAACGCGCGTTGGAACGCGCCGGGGCACGTTACCGTCGAAATTCGACGGAACTGTAATCCCCCTCCCTCGCGCGTTAATGCCGAGTGGAATCTTTTCTTTGGGAAGATATCGGCTTGTTCGGGCGATAAGCGAAGCATCGAACGCGAAACGAAACGAGGCGTTCGCCAGCGACCGATCGACAATTAAACGATCGGAGACTAGCAGCAGTCCGGATTAAACAGCGCGGGCCAAAAGAAGAGAAAGGAGGAGCCGG